CCTGAGTGGGATTCGAACCCACGATCCCGGCTTCCTAGCGAGCGAAGACAGTGCATGCCTTAGACCGCTCGGCTACCGTGACCGGCAGTGTATAAGAATAATATATAAGAATTCAGTTCGTACCTCACAGGAAACAGATCCGAACCCACGATCCCGGTTTCCAAGCGAGCGAAGACAGTACGTGCCTTAGACCGCTCGGCTACTGTGACCGGCAAATAACTGATAGTCTTTACTATATCTGAATACTTGTTTCAGTAGAAGGTTAGCGTCATGATAGCTATACAATTTCGAAAACTGAGCGGTCCGAAACTAACATCATAAACGTGCATAGCCATTGAAGTTTAGTCCTTTGAATATGTAAGTTTGAATACATCCAAGGGCAGAAGTTTGAAATGGAAATAACATTTCTTCAGTGAGTGATGCATAATTCAATGAAGCTGTACATATGTATGTCGCAGACATTTTGTGTCAGATGATGCCTGAGAATATTTTGTAAAGTTGTAGCACAATGCAAAGAAGCTATTTTCGCATAAAGTAGCTCTAGCTACTGAGAGCCTCATAAAATATCCCACAAAGTAACCAACGAATTTAGCAACCGACAGTACACATTCTTGTGGAGCGGTGAAGGAAAAATATGGGGAAAAATAATAAAAGTTAGCAGGAATCTCATTAAACCTCGCTTATATACTCATTACTGAAACTATAAATTTGTTGGTTCTGGCTTTCATATTATAAGCAAAGAAAGGCTCTGCTCTGCAAAGTAAATTCACCCTAAAAAGCCTACTGTTATTTCTCTCGCAGCTGCAGCGTGTTATACAGTGCGTTCAGTTAAGGAGGAAACTTCGCAACACCGCTGATCCGGCCCAACATTCCTCACAGATTGCTACTGTAACTACGGACAGCAGAATGAGTCACTAGCGCTGATAAACGCGCGCCGTTACAGTTACAGCAGCAATCTGTGAGGAATGTTGGGACCGGTCAGCGGTGTTGCGAAGTTTCCTTCTTGACTGAACGCACTGTATTAAGGATAACTGATACTGACCTTCTTGTGCCCAACTGCCTTCACCAAAACCGTAACCCGATCGAGCCTGTTTAGGCCACGACGCGAGTTTTGTGGACGAGTGTGGTCAGCTGGAAGTTTGGGAACCAGCATCATCATGACGTACCAACAGTTCCCAAGCTCTAGGGGGTACGTTCTATTGTCAAACGTATTTGCTTCTGTGGTGTCGAGAACACACGAGGCTGCGAAAGGAAACACAATTCTTATAAACTGTGATTTGTGAAAATAATAGGCCTGTGTGTGTAAAGTTGTGTCCTACTCACACAGACTAAGTCTCAGCACATTGAACATGTTCCAGGGTTTCCTATTCTGTCAGGATATCCAAATTGGGTTTACTTCGTAGTATTACATTGACATTAATAAGGAAATTAATATAATTACATAATTTCTTCCGTCATAATATTCATTATCTACTTTTTATTATGGGGCATACGGTAGCGTAGTTGGTTGAGGCAAATGTTACAAGCCGGAAAGCCGAGGGCTCGAGTCCCGATCAGGTGGCGTTTTTCAATTAACCTAATCCTTCCAAGCGCACTGTGGCCCTGGGGTCGACTCAGCTTCTAACAGAAATGAGTACCAGGAATATTTTTGAGGGTAAAGGGCGGCCGGCGCGTAAGGTTGACAACCTTGTAGCCATCTATGAACCGATTGTTTATAAAATGTGGGAGCCTCGACCTCTCACAACCCTATGGGTCTCCACGGCCTGTTACAGGGATAGCTTTACTTTTTTTTTTCTTTTTAAGTTATGACATCTTACGAACCTCTGTGTGATTACTAACGTTTCCGAGGAAGATACTATGTCCTTTTTCGGGAAATTCCGTTACTTATGATCTGAGAATGAGAAAATTATATTTGTTTGAAACGCTGGCAAACACTTATCAGATTCCCTGGTTTCATAAAGCGAGGGACACACTTTCCAGAACTATAACTTACGCTCATAGTAGAGAGAAGAAACGGTTCTTCCAATCCGCTCCATAACCGTCTTCGCTGGATTTATGTTAAGTAGACTCCTTGCCAGTTTACTGAGTCTGACGTTGGTTACATTCACGTTCAGTAACGGCGTTTCCATGGTCATGTTTAAGGCAGTGCTTTGTTCATTGAGATTGGCTGTAACATGCACTGTAACATCTCTAGTGTTCTGCGGGTATGCATTCTCCGTGATGTAGGGACGAAGAAGATCACGTGCCATATTATATAGTATATATACGTTGTTCTTCTGGAATTCGGTGACATTATTTAACGCAATCTTCAAGCGATACTGATCAAGATTATTGGCGCTCTCAGTGGCAATGCGGCAGGCAGGTAGAAGATAGTTCCCTTCCATCATTTGCGACTCACATAATTTGGCCATTGGACTATCGGCAATGTATTTTTGGCGCTTATTGGTTAGTTCCAATTGACCCTGCAACGTAATTTGAGAGTTAATAGATCTCAGGAGAATAAATAAAACGTTTGTATCTCAAAGGAAATATTGCAGATTAACTTACGTTGAGCATCACTGTAGCTCCATTGTTACAAGTCTCGCCAAAATTCAACAAAGCCCTCACTGAAGAATTTGGGTTGAATTTCAGTGCTTCACTGAAGTTGATGATTGGTACTTGAGGCATTGAGACGTCCCCAAACAGACATACCTGTAACTGATACATTAATTTATTTGTTAATTTATTTAATTACTCATTGTGGTAGCGCAGTTGGTTGAGGAACTATGTTACAAGCCTGAAGGTCGCGGGTTCAACTCCGATGAGGTCATTGGGAGAAAAGGTTAGTGTAAATTTGTAAAATCACTTGAAAATAATACTACAGGAACACAAATAAGAGGAATTAAAATACACTGAGGAAAATCACGAAAAAGCTCTCAACAGAGTTCATATTCTAATAGCAAACATCCAGAATGAATGGAGCCTTGCCTGTGAGCAGTGGCATTTAGACTACCAATGCAGTGAGCTAAATAAAGGAACAAGGGGTTGCTTCTTTCACTGTTATTTCTTTCCAATTTGTCAGTGTTGTTTTATAAATTAGTACTCACTTCAGGAATTAATTGCTGCTCTGCAATTTCCGGATGTTGAGCAGGTTGTGATGTCATGAAGACAAGAAGGCTTCCACTTCCGTTCACTGGAGAGGAGGCAGAAGCAGCCGTCATTAAGAACACTGCCTTTGTCTGTCCCTCGAATGTGATAGAAAGGTCAATAACTGAAGCTGTTGCATCTGTGAAGAAATCCAAATTTGTACTTCGAGTATACGTAAGCAATGTGAGTCCCTCTTGACAACTCAACATTTGTTTGGCCCCTTTCTTTGCGGTTTCTACGGATCATTAACAGATTCACAATTTTGTCCTGAGCCAAATACATCCAGTACGCTCCTTCATATCCTGTTTGACACCCATTTTAATAATATCCTTAAATCTAAACCCACATAGTATTTTCGCTCAATATTTCTGACTAAAATTCTTTGTGCCTTTCTCATATCGTTGTTGCGACCTACATCCGGCTTCCATTTCGTTCCTCTTGATTGGATAATCATAAAATTATTTATTTAAGACCGAAAATTATGAAACCTAACATTATGCGATTTTCTCGAGCTTCTTGTTAATTCCTCCCTCTCAGTTCCAAGTGTTTCCTCAGCGCCCTTTTCTAATTCACTTCTAATCTACTTTCCATATCCACAGGAGACAAGAGGAAAAATGACAGTTTTTATTTTTTATTTGTTCTCTAAGTTTTTAGATAGAAGATAATAAGAGAAAACACTAAAATAAATAAGCATTTATTATATTTATTTATAAGCATAAGTAAGCATTTTTAGAGTATTCAGTATAATCATTTTAAAAGTTCTGGTTTCTTACTAATATAATCTTACATGTGAGCTGCAACGCTATAACGTTTTTTTTTATTGCTAGTGGGGTGGGACTAAGTCCCTTGTACTGCGGCCACTTCTGGCCTATTGTACCAGCCCCAGATGATAGGTGAGGGTGATTGTGGAGCAGTTGGTGGAATGAAGATTGGCAGGGGAAACCGAAGTACTCGGAGAAAACCTGCCCCAGCGCCACTTTGTCCACCACAAATCCCACTTGACGAGACTCGGGATCGAACCCGGGCCGCGGCGGTGTGAAACCAGCGACTAACCACTTGAGCTATGGCGCAGCCCACGCTATAACGTTGACACGAGTTGTACCCTATCAAGAAGAATTAATTATTTTACAGATAGGTTTAAATTCCAGAAAACAAGATGTTAATACAAAACCTATCTATCCATCCGTCCACCTGTCTGTGCCTCTACAGCCCTTTGGTTGGACCTTGGCAGCTTTTTCAGTTTCTCGAACATTTTACATAGTCGGTGTGGCTCTTTATACGGGGGATCAGCCCGTCGCTACCTGCATACAGGACAGCATAAACACGGAATAAACGCACACAGACATCCGTACCTCAAGTGGGAATCGAACCTACGATCTCAGTGTTTGTGCTGGCGAAGACAGTTCACGCCTTAGACCGGGGGGCCACTGGATGACCAGCGTTTAGAATTGCTGTAGAGGGAGTAGCAAAGTAATACAGTGCATGTATTTCCTCAGTAATTACAAGGGGAGTTAGAAAATCCACGAATGTACTGGTTATATTTGCTAACATTATGTCTCGAACCTCATCCCATCGGAGCATGTAGCAATAATTGACATTTGAACAATTTTACTTTCGGGGATATGACGCCGTGTTGTTTGGCTTATTGTTTGGCGCTGAAGTTGGAGACATGTTCCTCCAAAACGGCCTTTGATTTTCAACTGACTATGCGGCGCTGTGTCCCAAAAATAAAAATGTTCATAACCATCGCTGTGAGAAGCCCAGATACTTACTTCCAGCTCTTGCAGCAGCCTTGGAAAGAAATTTCTTGCGTCTAAGTCTACAGTTAGGGGCTGTATATGGCTCTGGATTTGCGGGGTTGATGGATTCAGGGCCACTTTCCTGCGTGTTCTGCCATTTTCTGTTCACACTTCGTGGAAGTGGGCTCTTCTGGTTCTTCAAATGAGCTGATCCATTTTCAGTGTTCGAATCGTCTTCATCTTCAACGTCAGTATCTGAAGAATAACAAGGAATCGTGTGATGTCAGTTAATGTCACTATTAACTAACTCCGTGGCCTGTAGTCTGCAAGCAAACTATACCAACCGAGCGACCGTCGCTTGTTGGCAAAGTTAGTGCCAACTTTTGTGGATAGAGGGTGTCACGTGGTCAGCGCAACGTACCCCCACGGCCGTTAATCTCGGTTTTCTACACCGGAGCTGTTGTCAGTATAGTTCATTGAATTACGAGTATATTTGTCATGCATGTCTCTCTCGGTGTAGCACATGGGAGACGTCAAGTTAATCTATTGGTTTAAGCGCTTCTCTAGCACCCTTTTAGTTGGTGAGTAGCAAGAGTAGCTGCATCAGTGACTAGGCTACGTGCTGGAAGACCTTGACTAGTGGCCGGAGTAGCTGCATCAGTGACTAGGCTACGTGCTGGAAGACCTTGACTAGTGGCCGGAGTAGCTGCATCAGTGACTAGGCTACGTGCTGGAAGACCTTGACTAGTGGCCGGAGTAGCTGCATCAGTGACTAGGCTACGTGCTGGAAGACCTTGACTAGTGGCCGGAGTAGCTGCATCAGTGACTAGGCTACGTGCTGGAAGACCTTGACTAGTGGCCGGAGTAGCTGCATCAGTGACTAGGCTACGTGCTGGAAGACCTTGACTAGTGGCCGGAGTAGCTGCATCAGTGACTAGGCTACGTGCTGGAAGACCTTGACTAGTGGCCGGAGTAGCTGCATCAGTGACTAGGCTACGTGCTGGAAGACCTTGACTAGTGGCCGGAGTAGCTGCATCAGTGACTAGGCTACGTGCTGGAAGACCTTGACTAGTGGCCGGAGTAGCTGCATCAGTGACTAGGCTACGTGCTGGAAGACCTTGACTAGTGGCCGGAGTAGCTGCATCAGTGACTAGGCTACGTGCTGGAAGACCTTGACTAGTGGCCGGAGTAGCTGCATCAGTGACTAGGCTACGTGCTGGAAGGCCGTGACTAGTGGCCGGAGTAGCTGCATCAGTGACTAGGCTACGTGCTGGAAGACCTTGACTAGTGGCCGGAGTAGCTGCATCAGTGACTAGGCTACGTGCTGGAAGGCCGTGACTAGTGGCCGGAGTAGCTGCATCAGTGACTAGGCTACGTGCTGGAAGGCCGTGACTAGTGGCCGGAGTAGCTGCATCAGTGACTAGGCTACGTGCTGGAAGGCCGTGACTAGTGGCCGGAGTAGCTGCATCAGTGACTAGGCTACGTGCTGGAAGGCCGTGACTAGTGGCCGGAGTAGCTGCATCAGTGACTAGGCTACGTGCTGGAAGGCCGTGACTAGTGGCCGGAGTAGCTGCATCAGTGACTAGGCTACGTGCTGGAAGGCCGTGACTAGTGGCCGGAGTAGCTGCATCAGTGACTAGGCTACGTGCTGGAAGGCCGTGACTAGTGGCCGGAGTAGCTGAATCAGTGACTAGGCTACGTGCTGGAAGGCCGTGACTAGTGGCCGGAGTAGCTGCATCAGTGACTAGGCTACGTGCTGGAAGGCCGTGACTAGTGGCCGGAGTAGCTGCATCAGTGACTAGGCTACGTGCTGGAAGACCTTGACTAGTGGCCGGAGTAGCTGAATCAGTGACTAGGCTACGTGCTGGAAGGCCGTGACTCGTGGCCGGAGTAGCTGCATCAGTGACTAGGCTACGTGCTGGAAGACCTTGACTAGTGGCCGGAGTAGCTGAATCAGTGACTAGGCTACGTGCTGGAAGGCCGGGACTCGTGGCCGGAGTAGCTGCATCAGTGACTAGGCTACGTGCTGGAAGGCCGTGACTAGTGGCCGCAGTAGCTGCATCAGTGACATGCGAACTACGATATTGTCTCGTAATAATAACAAATTTAAGTAAAGAAATGTATGAACATGAACAGAAAAACTAACCATAGACCGCTGTTATTTTAACAACGTTAGCAGTGCTTCGCTGTGGGTCGTATGTCAGCCTGGTATCTTCGTAAAGGATATCGTGTGCAATGTTGTTGAAGTACAACTTGGAATGGGCGTCAGGCATCTGTGCAGAGTCGAGTTGAGACTTAAAGTCTGAGAATTCTTCTTCTGATTCTGATTGTAAATGGAACACCACTCCGGTCTGCTGGCCAAACGTCATATTGGACTGAAACAGTAAGAAATATATATATATATATATAAGCTNCTCTACAGCCCTTGTGGGCCTTGGCTGCTTTTTCAGTTTCTTAATCCATACACAGTCGGTATGACTCCTTGGAAGGGGGATCAGCCCGTCGCAAGGCCTCTACCTACACACAGAACTACACAAACGTAAAGGCACACACACATCCATTCTTCAAGTGGGATTCGAACCTACGATCCCAGTGTTCGAAGCGGGCTCCTTACACCGCCCGTAACTGTGACCGGCGTTAAAAGTAAAATTGACCCCGTGCTTAACTAAACACTACACCATGAAGGTGTATGAGGGAGTGGATGTATATATCCACGTTTTCTTCACCTCGGCGCTAGTTAGAGGTGAGTGGTCAGTTTCATGACCCCTAGTATCCATTGGGTAGGAGGCTGTGTGGGCCCCAAAACCGGTCTGGACGACGTAAACAGGAGAAAATTGTTGCCACATCAGGGGCTCAAACTCCGACTTCTCGGTCGTCCATCCCGTAGCCAGTCGATATACCGACTGAGCTACCCCGGCTTTTATTGTGTTCATACTGTATACATCATTATGCCGATCAGAGTGGCCGCGCGGTCTAAGGCATGAACTGTCTTCGTTCGCTCGTGGGATCGAATCCCACTCGAGGAATGGATGTATGTGTTTATGCTGTTTTCTGTGTTGTTCTGTGTGTAGGTGCAGGCCTTGTGACGTGCTGATCCCTTGTCCAAGGTGTCCTGTCGCGTATTTATAGGATTAAGAAACAAAAAGAAAGCGGCGAAGGCCCAACAAATGAATGTAGAGCCGTAATAAGAATTCTCATTATACGGTATTCGAACATGGGCAAAAATAATACAGTTGTTCGTTACAAAATACAACACGTCAAGGATGTTATGAGAATAACCTCTAAGGTCTTACGTTCAGTTACATTTAAAATACTGTGCCTTGTATTTAAGTACGATTTTATATGGATCATGTAGCTTACAGAATATTCAGTTATTCAGTATTAGAGGGGGTTGGTTTCCCCATGCACCGCGACTAGTAGTCTATTGTACGTCCCCCTTTAATTTCTACTGTAGCCATACCCTACCGATACTGGTCCTCGCTATCTTTCCTTTCTGCCAGCGAGGGCGGCCCTCTTCTGGCAGTGGTACCCGATAACTTCCCCATCTACCGGAGGCATTGGAAACTTTTTGCCTAATTTTGCTCAGAGGTCTCCTAGAGACCTGAGGATCTTTTACGTGCCGTAAATCTACGACACGGGACCCACGGCTTAAAGTCCCTCCCGAAGAACTTGTTCCCTGAATGTTTCCGCCCACGACCTCCGCCAGGTTTGAACCCGCGTACCTTGAGTCATGAGGTGGGAACGTTACCCCTAGACCGCTAGCTTACAGAATAAGTGTTGACCTAGAAGAATTACCGTACTATTAATTTCAGTGACTTTTGTGTGGAGAATGGAAACAACATGAGTTCCTCACCTTCCTGGTCGGACGCACATGTATCACTTTTGTGCTGCTGTCTTCCAACACGGGGATCATGTTGAAGATGTCGTGTGTGCTAGTGTAGGGGCGCGTGCGCAGATGTGTCAGTGTGACTCTTCTGTTTCTTCCTGGCATCACATTTATAGTAAGTTTCCTCTTCAGTACGTCCACATCAACATTTGCTTTCACTGGGATATGGAATAACATGTTTCTATCCAGACCAGCGATGTATCGCATGTTGTCAAAGGGCGTAACGAAGCCCAGCATGCTGTCAAGCTGGACGTTGTACCTGTAGGGGCAATATTAACTAGTTCAAGAAGTTTAAAAAATCACGAAACCTTTACAAGCATTTTAACACTTTTTTTTTCCTTGGCACTACAGCCCCAGTGGGCTTAGGCCTACCTCCATGAACTCCGTTCACTTCGGTTTTTCTAGATCTTACA